ACGATTCACCATATGTTGCGTTCACCCATAAACCTAAAACGTATCTGGGAGTTTTTGGCTGCCCTGGGTGTGTGAGTGTTGTGCTGAGCACGTAATTTACCTACGGACATCATTTATGGACGTTCAGACGTCACCATGGTCCGACACATGAGAAAGTGGTTGAATTCTCATTGTAAAGTCCCATTTCTCACAGTTGAGAATCTAGTTGCGCCTTCAGTGCTTTGTCTGAAAGATACCAGCAGATGTTAGGGATATATCTTCAGTTGTGTACTTAGTGTCATCAGCTGTTTCAGTCTTTTAATCACAAGATACCATCTTCTAAGGCAGGCCGACCAAAGGCTGATCAGACCTCGGTGTCTATCCCTCATATGTTGGGGCCCAGATAGGGTCTTTCCTCCTGATCCAGAGCCGTTGGCTTCAGTGCTCTGCAGAGCATGATGTTTCTTTTATGTTCTGGCACAGGGTTTGTCCTGATCGTGGATGTTTCAATAATACCCCTGCAGCCAACCTCCACTGGGTGCAGCATTGCTTTCCAGCTACGTTGTTATGCCTCACATGCCATCTCTGCAAACCGTAAGGAACACCACTGAATTACCTGAGTGACATAAGTCAGACTGTCCATCATATCAAATGTAGTCAATGGAGTTCCGTATGTTATTTTAAGTTTCCCTAGAGTTTCGATGTTTCACAAAGAATAGAACAATCAAGATAACTGACTGATTGAATCTAATTGTTTCCTGGTGTTGCCTTATTACAATCTCAGTTGTTGAGAGAAAAGTCTGCAATATCAAGACAGTCCAACATTTTTAGAAAACATTTAACACTAAATTATGCTGTCAATTGTACCAGTGCAAAAATGTCAGTGCAACAAAACTTATTAAAGTGAACACAAAAAACATTATAAAGTGCAGTATCTGTCTTAATCCACAACTGCAAAGGATACAGAGCTCATAGTAGCTCTTTGGAGAAAGCATGGAGGTCCTCAGCTCACCCAGCATGTTAGAGGCATGCTTCAGAGCATCCATCAGCTTGTTCTTGTCCTGCAAACCAAGAGTCAAGCTATGAACAAATAAATATATATATTATAATATCACATGTATGACAAGTAGAAACTGTAACCTCTCTTAACTCCCTTGGTATGAATGGCATTAGAAATTGTGGACAGTGTCCATTTACCATGTGAATTTTATTTTAACCACCCACCCAGGAGTATCTAAGTGAGTTCATCCACAGTAGTTTCAATAGGCGTTGACATAGATAACCAACAGATTGAACAAATGTTACCTCTAAAACGTATCTTGGTGTTCAGACAATATTACTTTGAGGAATTGGAAATTGCAATTTGATCAATAATCAGAGCTTGGAAGAAATTCAATGATCTAGATGAACCTGGCTCACAAAAAATGACAGAACCCTAACCCCTTTTCTAAACCTTACTCTTCAGCAGACTGAATGACGCAAATATCGACTTGCAGAGTGAAGACAATAATTCCTCTTTCACATATGACGAGGAAATCAATTCTCCTGAAGAAATCCAATACATGAAAATTGTAAATGTCAGTGGTTTCCCCTCAGCAAAAAGGGTTCCAAAGGTTGATCAGCTCATCACAAATTATCACCACCGTGACAATGATTGTAAAACAGACTGAAGTCGCCCCTACCAGACATCGCTTCATCTGGAAAGACTGGACCTTGACAGCCTGCACAGCTTCATCCAGAAGCTTCTCCTGCTCATCCTGGGGAGACTGCTGCGTGGTCGGCTGGAAAAGGGAGAGAGAAACATAACCTCTTTAAAACTTGGATGTTCTACAAATTAAAATTTGTTTTGGTACTGCGGCATTAATCAGGAAAATCAGACAGTACTTCGTCATAATGTTGTGCAATGTAATGTTCTGGAATGGAAGCGGATGTATTTAACGAGTGACCACGCAGATTGACTGGAAAAGAAAAATAAGAATAAAAAAATGAGGGTACTTCATCGATATCCTATTATCTGGAGACATTAACTGTAACTTAACCCTTACATTTGGCTGAAGTGTTTCTCCCTGGAGAAATATATAAATTTAAAAAAACAACCTTCATAATGCAGTGCAGGGAGGCGGGGCTAAGGCACTGCTGAGACATGCCCACACATCCTCATCCCATTCTCACCCACACACAGACATACAATATACTATAGTTTGCTAAAGCTAAGTTATCTAGGTTGTGTAAGACTTCCGTAGCAGCACACACACTCTTGTGACAGAAGTGGTGTGAGGTAAAGGCTTTTCGCCTCTAGAGGAGCGCGGTGGTCCTGAGCCAGCGGTTCCAACAGTGTGTGTGTGAGAGAGGCCGTCAGGGGGCAGGAGAGGATGGGGAGGTCTTTTAATGGTAGACAATGTAGTGGTTTAAAGGTTTAGTTTTAACATAGACTTGAAAATTACTGCAGCTTTCCAGATTCCCACTCATGCACCGTCTCTGGTGGCAGGGGTCCACCCACCAGCAAGGGTGTCAGGTTTTTCACATGTCATGATATATCATGACATCCCCAATGGTTGAATATACGTAAAGTCCAATTAATGCTCCTGTATTAAAGCTACGCCATAGGTGCACACGTAGCTGAGCAATCATAGTCCACTGTTATCCTGCTCCGGATCCGCGTGTGTGTGTGTTGATCATTTTGGACATTCAGGCTAAAAAACATGGTGTAAATGACGCTCCCTTGAGTTGAATATGAATGTCGGGGCTTACAGACACTGGATGAAAGCACAGGAGCAGTATGGAGGCATTTTCTGTTTTTATTCTGTTGTTTCTTTACATCGAAGAAGTGGTCACCATTCACTTCAATTGTACTGGCTTTGGCTGCAACACTGTTTACCCCTGAAAGTGTTTCGTGGACTCAAACACTTCCCCCACCCCTCCATCGGCGCAGTGGTGAGTAGATAATTAAATAAACTATAATGTGATATTAAAATAGGCATTAATGACTTTAAGGTTCAGTGTGTAGAATTCAGTGACATCTAGAGGTGAAGTGTCATGTTGCAGCTGAATACTCCTCATCTCATCCTCTCCTTCCCAGAGAACCTGTGGTGAACTTCAGTTGTCATGAAAACTCAAAAGGTTTTAGTTTGTCCAGTTTGGATGACAGTAAAAACCATGGCGGCCTCCACAGAGAGGACCCCCCTCCATGTAAATATAAAGTATTTAAATATAAAGCATTTATTCTATGGTAAAGAGAACAACAATTCATACAATATAGATGAAACACACCAGTGAAAACATCATGAGGATTATTTTATATTCAATATCTGCCAACAATCCCTTTCACCTAAATCTTCCACCCTGGACCTTTAAGTGTAAGTGACCATGTCCTGTGTTACAACATAAATAACAAAACCAACCCCCGAGCTCAGCTGGTCCGTGAACTCTCACATGACTACGTGACACAATTAAAAAGTAACCACTGTGTTTGCGTTCGGCGCTAAACACAGTCGTGCGTGTGCGTGTGCGTAGACATGTCCGCCATATGTGCGTGTGGAGGTGCTGCTGCAGGCTGCTGGACATGGCGCTGCTGTCCACCGACACGCAGTCCCCGCTTGTGTTTGTTGAGTTCAGGCCACAACATATAGCGACCGTAACATATGACACAGCAAAGCGGAAGAACATGCTAAACAACAGCTAGCTGTCACCTGCTCCGCCCGGGAAATCTCTGAGGCTGGACACAGAGGCTCGCCTCACCCCGACACGTTTCATGCAGATGACACGATGGCGTCGTTCGTCTTTATTAACGTGGATTAAAAAGGACATTAGCGACAGACGACTAGCTGCAGCCCGCTGGTAGCTCGTTAGCCTCGCTAGCCGCTGTCTGACGTTAGGCCACAGCAGCGCTCACTTCCAAGTCTAATCTGAGTTCCGCCTCGCAGCGGAGAGCCGTCGTTCCACTGGCCCGCGCTGAACACGGACCTGACCCAGGAGCAAACACGAGAAGAGAATGAAACAGTGTTAGGAGGGTGCTCACCATGATTGTTAGCTGTGGTGGATCAGTCGGAGAGGCTGGCCTGTCATGTGACCCACATTCACGGTGCCTTCACGGTCCGCTCTCAGCCAGCAGCACATCACAGACCAGGCGTGGCCTCGGCTCCACTGTGGCCAGGATGTATATGCGTGAACTGAGCTGAACATCTGTACACATGTTGACTGCTGGAGAGCCAACCACACGTGTGACACAGGAAAACACAGCTGTGATCTAACATAGACATATATTTATATATATATATACATATATACAAGGAACCTGACGTCAGCACGCCATCCTTACAAGTCAGGAACTTCACCCTTTTTTATTATTGAACAATTTTCAAATGTCCCAACAATATGGCACTAAGATCAAGATACTGCACGTGAACAAAGGAGCAGGTGCAGCCGTGTAAATACATACATCCTCTGCATACACCTGCCTAGTAGCTCTGTTTGTGTACTCACCTCTGGAAAATCTGCAATAACTACACACACATATCTCCATACAGTATTCACTTGTCACTTGGGTTTTACACCCCCGTCCTCTAATGTTTACAGGATTGCATTTGTTTTGTTTTGTAGCTTTGAGCTCTTTTACTTGAGTGACGTGGTTTAAATGTTCTTCTCTCTGTTGCATCTCATTGTGCTGTTGAGCTGACCTGTGTTTCTTGTCCAACGTTCTGACGGTGACAAATAACGAAATTGAGACAACTCCTGGTCACCAGGAGAGAAACACACATGAAACCAAAATAATGTGAGGCAAGAAAGAAAGAAATTAATCATAAAATAAGTTCATTATAATAATAAAGTTCAAATTAAAAGGACTAGGGCTTGATTTCTTAACTATATTCTTCTACTCCAATTATCATTGTTATAATAATTCTAATGATGATGATTATATATTTAATTTAATTTAATTTCATTATATTTTATTGACTAAAATAAGACTAATTCGTGAAAACCGGGAGGCCAGTGTTCAGCTCATCCAGATGGTGGCAGTAAGATTGTTTGTCTACCGCCAGGGGTCCCTCACGAAGAAGACGGGGGCGGAAGTATCGGTGAAAAACATGTCAGCCCCCTATGTCGACACACTTAGGGCAAATCCACTTCTACTACACAAACATCCTCGGTTTCATCAATTACTATTTGGACTGATGGTGTTTTTCTATGAGCGGAAGCAGCAGCTGGTGTGAGCATGTGGCCGAACAGCAGACGAACCGGAGCGGCCCTGAGGATCCTCCAGCTCTGCTCTGCTCCCACCGGGTTGAGAGGAGGAGTCGAGGGGAGGCAGCGGCGGGTCTACAGATGCATGTCAACATCAGGACCTCCGTGGAGACTCCTGTTCTTTGGTTCGGATCACTTTGCTGTGGAGTCTCTGAAAGTCCTCACAGCCAGCAGGTGAAAATCACAGCTCACACAGGAGGCCTCCAACAGTGTCACAGTGTGTTAGGCTTTACTAGACTTATTGCTTTACTGATTATTATTATTATTATGATACAGTTATGTTAAATGTGTAATAACCTGTTTGATGCTGATACTGTATAAAACTATTGCACACTTCCTTGTGTTCAGACAATATTTACTATTTTAAGTCTGCTTATTGGAGTAATCTTTAAGTAAGCCCATTTCCATTTTTATTATTCATATAGTTGAAATTATGTTCAGATCTTTCTCCCAGTCTCCTCAAACTTTGGGTAAAAGATGACAATAGATTTTAATCTTGATTTAATCAGTCGTTGTTGTGATTAAAATCTCTTTTTCAAGTGAGATCTGAGCTCAAATATACATTTACAACAACAAAACAATTAAAATCATCTTGGAAGACATCAGATAAAGGAGCTTTAAAAATTCCCTCACTCCTCATTCCAGGAGGAGTGAGGGACTCCTTATTCATCATGTTGGACTAAAGCAGTGATTCTCAAACTGTGTGGCGCGCCCCCTGGGGGGGAAAGAGAGATTCTTCTTCCTCCAAAGGGGGTGGTGTGTCAGAAAAAGTTTGAGAACCACTGGACTAAAGGAAGTGAATGTATAATAATTAACCTCCATGTTCTGTTTGTAGGAGCTCCAGTGAAAATATAGTGGAGTCCCTTGAGGTTGTCACTCTGTCTGCTGATGTCCCAGTGACGAGGTTTGCTCAACAGAACCACCTCCCGGTCCTCAGGTGGCCCCCGGACAATGTGGACGGACGGTTTGATGTTGGGGTGGTAGTTTCTTTTGGCTGTTTACTCCAAGAGAAGCTCATCAACAAGTTTCCATAGTGAGTACTTGTTTTTATCTCTCAGTGGTTTGTTTGGACTGTTGCTGTGCTGTGGAGGTCACTTATTCAAGCTTTAAAGAAAACTTTAGAAAAGATTTAAGAAAACAGTGGTTTTATTTTAGTATTTCCAACCTTTGGTGTAATTATGATTACACCACTCAATAATGACATAGATCTCAAACTACATGTCCACACTGAGCCATCTACATTTCAGAACACACTTCTTGTGTGAAAATGATCTGCATCCATATTAGAATTTCCAGGTAGTTTTTGTAGCCACCTCTCTGCACAGTAAAGCATATGAACAACATGAAATTGGGTAAATATGTTCTTTGTTAATGATAAGAGCTCTGCTGTATCATCGGTTATATGGCTTATCTATATTATATGATATATTGATTTATTATATATATTGAGTACACAAAAAGTTACCGATGAGAGAAGGTTGTTTTCCCGATTCTGATGTCCCCACCTAGACTACACACACACTCCACAATCTGAATGAGGATTAAGTAGTGATTTAATCACAGACCATAATGATGACATATTAACCAGCTGTCATTCTAAATGAATTTACTTCGTGGGTAGAAAATCCTTATTATTTAATGTGATATCATCTGACAAAAGAAACATAAATCCAGCTCAGTGTCCTTTTTAACCATCTACTATCTGCATTAGCAATAATAATACTGGTTGTTATATTGTAAGATTATGTACAAATTAAGCTGAGTACATATTCTAATTTGAATCAAGGAGATGTTTGAATGTTTCTCTCGCACTGTGAACATGCTTTGTCTTTGCAGTGGGATTCTGAACGTTCACCCCAGCCTACTGCCGAGGTGGCGAGGTCCAGCACCCATCTTCCACACCATTTTGCATGGCGACACTGTGACTGGAGTCACCGTCATGCAAATCCGCCCTCACAGGTAAAGCAGAGGGACAAGCTCTCAGTGTTCCCTCCTGGTTCTTTTTCCCCCTTAAATGGACTAAAAAACATCTTCACATCCCAGGTTTGATGTGGGCCCCATTCTCAACCAGGAGCTCCATCAGGTCCCTGAAAACTGCACTGCTGAGGAGCTTGGAGCTGCCCTAGCCAAAAAGGGAGCACATCTGGTGAGTAGATGGAGCAGAATAAAAATGTTTCCACTTACTAACAGAGTGGTCACAGAGTTTCTGTATCTGTATTCTTGATCGCAGCTCATCGATACGTTGAGGACACTGTCTGAGAGAATGGCACATAAAACGGAGCAAAGCAAGACAGGTGCAACTTTTGGTATGTAGGCCTGAACTACATAGAAACAGTTATAGCAAACATCTTTCAAGAGAAATGATCCCAATTACAACTTTATTTCCTCCAACAGCCCCAAAAATCAATGGCTCCATGAGCTGGATGGTGTGGGAGGAACAGACGTGTGACCAAATCGACTGCCTGTATCGTGCAATCGGATCGCGAGTAAGGAGAACTCATATGTGACTGTATTCACTAAACAACCTGAGGTCAATGACGAAGGTTTAAGACCATCGATCCATTTGATGTCTTCTCAGCTCCTTAGTAAATGATTCTCTCAGCAGCTCTGTGAAGAACTTACTCCTGGTGGTAACAGAGCGATGAGTTCATTTGTGACTGTCTCGCTGTAACAATTCTCTCTCCTCTTTGCCATCAGATTTCATTGAGGACCATGTGGATGGGCAGGACAATAAAACTTCTTGAATTTGTAGGAAAATGTCACATTTCATTATCAGGTAGGTTTGATGAAACCAGTTTTATACTTTTTTAATTCTTTATTATCGAAAGCATTACATTAAAAGGAAGGATGAGAACAGGATAATGCTCGGTATACGATAGCTGTATAAATGTGGGTAAATTGACTAATGCAATTTGTGCAGCAACAGGCTTTAATTGGTTGATAAGACTGAAAATGTATAAATACGGACATTTACCATTCAACCAGCACCTCATGAGTACTTTTTTTACATGGATGTTAAAATATCAAACATGTATTTGAACCCCTGCGAAGGCAGGTCACAGTAAAAGTGGAACATTTTTGTAAGCGCTGAAAAATTCTCAACACAGGCAGACAAACAGTTCCAATCATTTAAATACAGGTATGAGTAACACATTTACATTATGTTCCCTATATAGAACCTGAATATGATCAAAACCCTTTAGAGACTCAAAGCTAGGAAACTATTGTGTGTTGTGGAACGCGTGTCTGCATCAGCACTGTAGGTGCATTAGAGGATGATCCCACAATATAATTGAGTAGCACAGTTTGTAGAGGTGGGGGTTATTTTATACATATTTGTTCTTTCTGTGTGCTGTATCAGGTTACTGATCAGGTTAATGGTGAATCGTTTCAAACTCTTATCCCCAGTACAAACAAGAAGCAACATTGTTGAGCTAATAATAAAAATACCATTTCGAATGTCTTTAGCAGAGCAATCAACTGGGTTCACATAGACCACTGCAGCAAGAAACACGCAATCAAACCACAAGCTTGAATTAAAGACAAGTTCAATTTGATTCTCCAGCCTGTGGGGGGAAAATAGAACAATTCCCCTGAAAGTGTCTGAAACATTCCTGACACAAACCATGAGGTCTCTGAAGTGCCCTAGAAGAATGCTGTGTGTGTGATGTGGAACACAGACAGTGCGAGGCTGGGTGGCATTGACATTTCACATGCAAGTGCTGTGTATATCCTGTGCCATGACATTAACATGTGTCCTAAGATCCATGACCCTGAGCTGTCATATATCACTCACATGTTGTTTGCAGATCAAAAGAGGAAACCAGTTCCCGGCTCGGTGACCTATCAGAAGGAGTCCAATACTTTAGCTGTCTGCTGTAAGGTCTGTCCAACTCCGTTCACCGTTTGTCCAAATCCTTCAGTGCTCACAATGACACAAACCTGACCCTCTCTACTCCACTTGCACAGAATGTTTTACCGTATGTCATCCTGATAGTAGTCATCGGTGTTGACGTGTGTTCCCTGTTCCAGGACGGCTGGGTGGGTTTCAAGGCAGTGCTCCTGAAAAAAAGACTGACAGCAGCTGACTTCTACAATGGCTACCTGCATCAGACAGCTCAAGGACAGTTTCTTAGTAGAAAAGGTGGAACTGCAGCACAGCCGATGAGAGAAAACTCAACGTCGTGATGTTACGACAGTAATTTTATTCTGGGACGTGAACACTGCAGACAAGACATCACCTAATGGAATCTGCTGGAGTGAAGTTGTTGCTCTTGTCTGTTTTAAGACATCTGCATCTACAGTACGTTTACTGTATTAATGAACTCTATACTTAAATAATAAATAAAAAGGAATGTGCTGTTGACTGACAGTTGCAAGTAACAATCATGAAAACTTGATTTTATTTCTCCATTAATTGAATGTACCTTTTCAATAGGTTGCAGGATTTAATTAGTGAGTGCCTTTTGACTCACTAGTGTTGAATGTAATGTTAATTTAAGCAATGTAAGTTAGAGTTACACATGGTAACATACTGTATTTACCATGACAAGGTTCCCACACCAGTGACAAAGGAGCACTGCTATACACATGACTCTGCAAGGCAGAGTTGGTGGAGTTGGTATCACAAACCCCTGGAACCTCAGGTCGCTAAACAACTACTGTCCTTTATGTTCAGTGTTGTAGAGGTTGGTTTAATGTTGACTTAGGGAACAACAGGAGGCTTTGTTTTTAAGTTTATGTCCAACTGTATGTCCACAGCTTCCAGACCCCATTTTGTAGGCATTCACCAGAGTTCATGTGTGAAAACGACTGTTGTATTCTTTTGCTGCATAATATGTTGCTCCTTAGAAGACAAATTAAATTGTTCTTAATTTGATACCTACTCAACATCGCCATGTTAAGTCATTGTGAGCATGTTCCCATGGTGACCAAGCCCCCAGGAAAGGGTGATTTTGTCATAGTGCTCAAAGTTAGGTACAGGTAAATGAGGAACAACTTTATTCAGTTTAAGTTAACAGTCAGCCAGTGCTGGGATCTGAGAGTGGGTCCAAAATTATGGAATGATGTAATGGAAGCAGAAATATCTTGGCTTTTGAAATTAATGGCACCTATTAGCACTCTTTTTAACAAATGAAGTTTGCTTCCATAATTTACTGCATCTGCCTGAGCAATACAGACGTCAACACTGGGACATGGATTCAAAATGAGCTATTTTGTAGCATTTTAAGTCTGTGCATCATCTGAGTGAAAAGCCACATTTTTTTTCAGACATGCAGCAGCCAATTTTTGTCCTTAATTATCTTCTCTCTTCTTCACTTCTCTCCAGAGACTTGATAAAACCTTTTGAAGAACTCTAACATCCAAATAGGTCGACCATTCTGAGTGCACAATACTGGTGCATATAGTGCACAACATGTTGCTATATTTGCCATACATGCACTCAAAATAACTTAGTGTCTAGGGAAGTATGCAGAGTGAACCACAGTGTTCATGCCTGGCTTATGCATGTTTTTAACTTTAGAGTTAGTCAATAGGCAACATTTGGACTCAATGCAATAAAATCAGGAAACATCAACATCAGGAAATTTGAAGATTTGAAAAATTAAATAAACACTTTCATTTGCACAGCATGGGCCTTATTGGAAATCTCATTACAACATTCAATACGTGAATGTAAAAGCACAATTAATAGATGCAATATACCCAAAATAACAGCTTTAGAGACTATATGCTGATTTTGTGGTGATAACCGGCTTATCAACTGTTTCAGATTTTCTTTGGAGATGCTAACCCCACTTGGTTTCTTATGGCATATGATTATATGATTTAGAGGGAATTCCTAGATAGATCAGGACTGTGCCGGTCATTCTTGAGCTTTGCCATGTAAGCTATATGTGAAGGAATCATCCCTATTTTATCCATGTATATAATGTGGTTGACCGGGTAATGTGCTGCAAAAGCTGGTTTCGCTGATGTAACCTGAATGATGGACTATGGTGATTTCAGCTGATCTGGAAGCCTCTGCTTAAAGGGCATGACATCTCTGACTGGCTCTGAATGGATCACCAATCAAACACACGCATGTCTCTCTATAGCTGTTAGGACACTCATTGACATAGTGCATTCCCAACCCTAACGCTAACCCTAAAACCAAGGCTTAACTCTCAAAAAGTCAATTTAATTTGTGAGGACCAGCCGAAATGCACTCACAATGTCAAAATGTCCTCAAAATGATGGTATTGGCCCTCATAACCATATATAGACATGCTTTTGGGTGGGTTAGGGTTAGTGTTTGTGTGTGTGTGTGTGTGTGCATGTGAGGTAGTTTGGTGTGCTCGAAGTGAGGGGAGCAGATAGAGGTTAACTTTTCTTTACAGTGGTAATGAGGCCAAAAGATCTTTTCCTGGCTGAAATTTGAAAGATTTTGATAAGGAGAGTCTATGAGTGTCACCATATTCAGTCACATGAATTTGGGTGGCTGTGGCTGAGGGGTAGAGCAGTCATCCTCCAACCAGAAGGTCAGAAGTTCAATCCCCAGTCTTCCCATCTGCATGCCAAAGTGTCCTTGGGCAAGATGCTGAACCCCAAACTGTCCCAAAGAACAACAATGTGAATGGCAAACTGTAGCATAAAGCGCTTTGAGTGGTCATCAAGACTAGAAAAGCGCTATATAAATACAACCATTTACCATTTACATGAATCAGTACAATGATTCTACAGGAATTGATGAGTACAATTTAGTTGCAAAAAGGGTAGAATAGATTGAATGTGCTCCCGGTGCTCCTGGTCTGAAGTTGTTTAGGGATTCTTCACTCCACCAAAACCATAACTTAAAATAACCTGAATTAATTTAAACTTGCTTGGCTTAGCTGTATTTGGCTCAAACACCCACCTCTAAGTCATGCTTCTCTTCCCGCATAGTGTCTGTCTTCTTCTTCCCCTTTCATACTGTGTGTGCATGTATGTTTAGATGTATGTACAATACACAATAGAGAACAGTAGAATAAAAGAAAGAATCCAGTCTAATGAATATAAGGAGTAGATTCAAAAACAGTGCCTAATAGAAATAACAATAGAAATGAAAATAAAATAAATTAAGAAAGTAGTACTGATAATAGGAGTAAGTAATGTAGAATACTGCTCGGATATGAAGCCTAATATGATGAAAACATGGTAATATTAGTTGTATAATGAACAGATAACAGTCAAATGAAATAATAAACGTACTGAATACAAATGATAGATTTATTTGATTGTAGTGTGTACGTCAGTGCATCCCTTCTCCTCGTCACCTCTTGTTTACATGAGGATGACTGTGAAGACATGCAGCGCACTGTCAGATGATTGTCCATGCTGGGCTTCCTCTCCACGGACCGTACCATGTCACACACTTAAACGAGGGAGCTTCCGCGCAGACTCTCACTGCCGTCTCAATACGTTCGCAAATACAAAAAATCGCTCCTGAATAAAAACGTTTCCATTAAAAATTCAATTCCACACAGGGCTAATTTAAATCTGTCAATGAGTAAATAACTCACACAGTGTTGCCTCTGAGTGACCCCCCCCCCCCGTGGCTGTCGAGTGGTAGCGGCCCAGCAGGAGAGAGGCTGACTGCCATTTTACACTGGAGCTGCTACATGTCCAAAGTGATCCCACACAACTTACTCATCTTCACACTTGTCAACCCGTTTGTTGTAAGCAGAAGTGCAGCGTGGACAGCGGCTCACTGTGGCCCACGCATCCGCTGCGACCTCTTGTTTCCACCACACCAGCCAATTTAACAGTGGCGTGAAATAACCACGGGTAAGTTGTTGGTCATACCAAGTTGAAAAACGCGATCCTAGCATGAAGCTAACGTCACTATAACAGACCCGCGGCGCTTTAGCCCAGCGAGCACGTGTTGTGTTGGTCGTTGAGCTTGTCAGGGCTTCACGTAGACACCAGTGCGATGGCGTGAACGTCAGGTTGAAAACATGACGGTAATATGTTGTGCTAAATTCGCCATGACAGAGTTGCTCTGGCTTGAAGTCAACTATGATGTGCGATCCGGGTGTTGTTCACCTCTTCTGGGTTGTGCTGCAAAGCCTTGGACAGGATTGTAATAGCCTCACAATGTGGGTTTCATGAACATATGTACACATACATGAGTGTGTCCTAAAGAGGAGGGTCTGCCCGTGATGTCATCGAACGCGGAAGTGTCCGCTGTCACTCCACCCACAGTCGGGATCTGTCATCTGGGCTCACGTGAACGATCCGTGCTACACTACAGTGCTAAAATGCTGCAGTTCACTAACACGTTCAAAACACTCATGGCAGGTGTTATGTCTTACTGCCACAGTGTTAAAGAATCAGTGTGTCTGTCTGCCAGCCACAGAGATCTGTATTGAACATGTAATTAACAAAAGTACTTTAACAAACCAGGACGTTTTGGAGCATAGTCACAACTTAAAGGGCTGTTTGAGGGTTAAGACTTGGGTTCAGGTTAGAATAAGGGTAAGAGTTGGGTTTAGGCATTTAGTTATGATGGTTAAAGTAAGGCTAAGGAATGCATTCCAAAGGTTTGTGTGCGTGTGTGTACTTGTTTTTGTAACATCTTTAGCATCCTTTCCAGACCTTGTCACGACCTGTAGACCTCATCTGGACTTAAGCCTGGCTCTAATGAGGCAACATTTTCTTTCTGTGGTCCTGGTCAGCCTTATAATGTGAACTGTGGGTAGGCTAAGGTTAGAGTTTCAGCAGTTCGTCCAATAACCAGATGGTCAGTTGTTTGATTCCTAGTTCCTAAATTCTGCATGCCGCTGTGTCTTTGGGCAAGACCCTGAACCCTAAATTTCAGTGTATGTATGATTTGTGATAGAGAAGGTGCTGCACATAGATCCACTGTGTGAATGTGTGTGTGAATGGCAAAAACGTGGTCATATACATGTAGACTAGAAAAGCATGATATAAACACAGATTGTTTTCCACTTAACTGCTCATTCTTAAGGCTAGGGATGAGATGAGGTTAGGGTTAGGAAAGTTAAAGAGATTGTAAATCCCTTTGAGAAAACTATAATGCTTTGGGGATATATTAAAGCAATAAGTTCCGAGGGATAAAGATTATACAGTGATGAGACTACAGCTAAGGGACCTTTTAAACCCCCTTAGTATAAAAGCATGCTTACAGATTGGGGTATTCTGGCTTATTTTAAGGGTATTTGTCAAGCATCTTCTCTTGTTGTTGTTGGATTGATTCGTTTTACGTCCATGCATTATCATTGAGATGATTTCACATTGTTAACTACCTATACATCATTGGTGTTGTTTGTCTGTTTGTTTATCCTTAAAGCAACTTCTTCTTGTACAATGCCATTTCTATATTTTTACAGACAACTGCAACTTACATATGATGATTATTCCAGTTTCAGATTTCTACAATTTAATTCTGACCGGTCAAAATCCTTAATTAAGTTTAAACTAGTAAGAATGGTGTTGAAGATATCACGAACATCCAGCATTGTTATTGTTCATCAACACATTACCACCTGGTCTGTTTTACTCTAGCTTCACTTCATTCAGTGTCTGTTAAATGTGGCAACTCCGTTTATTATTTGTTGTGTGTATTTTTGTTATGTATTTATTTGTTTTGTATGTGTGTGCGTGTGTGTGTGTGTGGATCTGGATCTGGTGTGTTGTGGTGTCCGGTTCTGTTTGTGTGTTGGAAGTAGTAGCACAAGGCCCTGGATGGATAGTCTGGACCCTGAAACCCTCTATGTGTCCCCAGAGCAGGCTGGACAGCCCCCACTCCCCCTCCCTACCTTGGAAGTCTCCAACGTGGCACTGGTGGGGTAAGGAGACTCTGTCCACTCTAATATGGCAATAGAGGGATGTAGAAAATCTGCCATTAACCCTCTGCCACACCATACAGTCATATACACTATCTTTCTCACATAGTCAGGTCATACAAACAAAGCTAGAGTACAAGAAAAAGGTGGCTGGAGTGCTACTGGTGTCCCTCAAACCACTGGTGCTCAAGGGTATAAATGTCATAATATTGAGAAAAACGTATGTCCAAAATAACGGCATTAAGAATCCATGTCCAGGCACTCAAAGTGGTTTGAAAAGTGTAAAAGGCCTTTATGTCAATGGGCTTGAAGCTTTAAAATACACCAACGCGTACCGCTTATGCTTTCATCAGGGAGTCATAAGCCTTGAGATGAAATATTCAGTTTTTGTGGGAGTAGCCAAATTTAAATGAGTATAATTGACATTAAAAAAATAATTCACAGAAAATACATTTCAACAACCTCCATTGTTGGCACTGCCCATTTATTATAGATACAAATATTTGTGCAGACACTAATTATATGTCGTTTATGCTGTTCCATTTGTTTGTAAATTGAATGAAGGGAAAATAAAAATGCAGAGTGTGTGTGTTCTTCATGTAGTGGGTTTGAATTCGGCAGCATTATCTCCCATATGTCCTGAAACACAGAACAACTTTTCTCACCACCTTTCAGTCCTATTGACATGCACTGAACTCTGCCGATACTCCGTATTTTTTCCAGAGGAGGTGCACGTGTGAACACAAAATTCGCGGGTGAGAGTGAGAGGCTCAGGATTATCTGCAGACTTTCGCCGCCTGGCCTCCTAGTATAAAGGCCGTAGAAAGTCAGGAGGATTTGATGTGTGACTACTAGAGATGGGTGGATTGACTCTGACGACATCCGAGGGGCGTCACAAGGTAAACATCGTTACCAAAATACCAAATGCGACAACCTCCCTGCGCCCTGGACATCCAACTGGACCTTTCCAAGGCGTGCCTTGGTGCAAAAAATAATTTGGGTCCTATGTTTTCATTGACTAGTAATTACAAACTGCGCAAAAAGTTAGACTCCATCTGGCCTCAGTGATGCGCCCAGCTGTGCATAATGAGTGCTAGCTTGCAGCGCTCATTGCCGGAATGCACAAGATTCTCTTTGTGTGTCGTCCACATTTTAGAGAATGTCATAGATATTTCCCACATTAATGATGTATGATGCCTATTTCACCCTCCCGAACCCATCCGCCATCGATAAGAAATGTTAATTTCTACGACCCTACAAGGGTATAACTGCAATCAGCGCATCACAAGTCAACACAGCTGGGGATTTCCGCTGGATTCCCCGTGAGCGAGTGAGGGTTTTGATGATGCTTCTGACATGCGAAAGAAGCAAAGATGAAAAAAAACATCTCCTGGTGAAACACATGTACAAGACACAGATGAAGATGTGGAGATAGCCTACGCTGGTGTGTTGTCAAGGAAATCCTGTGATCTACGCGGCAGAATAACTACATCACTTCCTGCCTCTGTCTGCTGCATCTGGCTGCTCCACCTCTCGTCGGAGTAACGCAGAGGATTTGTTGCTGTTGTGAACCCGTCTTTGCAGAGAACCTCCCACCAAGTTGTGCATGTGTGAAAGGCAAACTGTGGATAAATTCCATGGGGAATTTATCTCTGGATTTTACCCTCATGTCTGAAAATGGCTTTAATGTGCACTGCCAGATGATACAGCTTTGATCAACACAGGAGGTCCACCCATTAGTTGTAATTTGCAGAATATAGTAAGCTGTTTTCAAACTATCCACAAAATCAAAATTTTTCGTCAGAAACAGCTGAATAATTGAAACCAAAAAATGTTACACAGCGGTAAGAGCTTATGTTGAGTCCAAGAAACAACAGCCTTGGATACTGTAGGCAGATACTGTAGTCCAGTGTTATATTACTTACATTCCTGGACTTTATCCCACTTCATAAGTGTGTATGTGCGTGTGAGTTTGTGTGAGCAGTGTGTGGTGCACAAAGACCAAAGCCAGTGTCATTTGACATTGTTTTTACACACACAAATCACACACCAACCAGTGCAGCCTGGAGGACAACAGGGCAAACACAGCCCCCCTCAGGCCGGAACCTAATTGTTAGCCACTGTTGTGCCTAGTCCGGGGATTAGCTACTGGCTGGGGAGTACTATTCACTCCCTCTTTCATTCCCTCTGCCCACTGGGCCTTATCACCATCAATCTGACACCCTGTTTATCTGATGCTGCAGCCAGATCTGCTGGGCTTGGAGAAATGTTCACAAAGGCCATGGATCATCAGCACTTTGATTGTGGGACCCCAAATGGCCATTACTCTCTCTGGCCCCAGTGATCCCACCAGTGCTCTGTCTCCATGATCCCCATGCAGTGGTTAGTCCCTGTTGCAGAACCTGGAAAGCCAACCTGAAGTCCTGTCACTTTGTGTGTGTTTTGTCATTTATGCTCTTCGTTCATCTCAGACAAAAGTGTTTCTTCAGCTGGTGGACAGGTTCTCCATGTGGATTGGTTTGTTGCGGCACACTGTTTCTCTCTGCCTTTTTTGCTCTGTTGGCTGCCTTACAAGACCAGTGACCAGGGAGTTACCAGCAAGTGCATCATCTGGAGTTTACCACCACCATCTGATTACTGCATCAAGTTAGCCTCAGTGTTAAAGAAGAAGAAAGAAAACCAAACAGACTTTACCATCATGGCTTCTTTTAAGCTGGATTTTCTCCCCGAGATGATGGTGGACCATTGCTCTTTGAATTCTAGTCCTGTGTAAGTAACTCCCTCTGGCCAGCTTTGTACGTGTTATGTGTAGTAGGCTTGTCTTGTGTTTCAGGGAATCATCTGGAAAGGACTGGACTTACCACATCTAATATTGATTTTATTCTCTTTATTTTTGTCTTTGCCAAATACTTTTAACATTCTGTTTAATTAAACCAAATGGGCATTCTCTGCATCCAAAGCTATGCTCCACTTTCAATGACATATTGAACATGTTGATATCAACAGTTTTCTGTATAATCAGCTGCTAACAATTCAGGTTCTTTTGTGTTCATTGAAATGTTAGCAGAAAGCAATCAAAATTGTAGTTGCAATTTTTAATCTACATATCTGTTAATTGTTCATTGATGCGGTGCTTGACATAAACCTTTTGACTGATTCAGATTCCAGTTCAGATTCTGGTGATATATCTGCAAATTATTTCTGTAGTTGATGACATGTAGTTCTGAGCTTAATAGGTGTCTGTAGGTCTCAGCCTCTCCCACTTAATTCATCATTATCCCATTACCAGTCTTTTGAGAAAAATTTGCTCCGATATTCCAGATGTAATGTCACTAAGTGTATATAGGAATCGAGATCTTCCGTTATCGTGATAATCTAATTAAGCATTTTGCAACCCTCTATTGATTAGTCCCCTGGTACAGCTACTGTTCAGGTAATGATATACTGTGGGACATCATCCGTACATTTTGAAAGAAAAATTATGCCTCAAATGCATGAACTTTGATGTCTAATCACATTTAAAGTACAGCCGAACTACCACTGGATTTTTAACAGATACCCATCACCAATAACTGTTTGATATATATTCTTTTAATTATCCATTTACTTCTGTTATTCTAATGTTGCCTATGAAATCATTTTACCCTCTTAGATGATGTCGCAAACAGATTATGACTTAAGACAAACTGCATAGTTGTGTATGTGTCATGAAAAGCAATGGGCTTTTTAAATCTTGCAAATGTGCACACAAACTCTACACACACATTTTACTACATTCACTATTACTTCTTCTTATGTTACTTGCCTAAAATGGGACTTGCATCACATGATTATTGAACAGATTTTATTTTATTAAAACTAAAATTGATATTAACAATTTAGATATGGTAGTTTTTTACTTTGATAATACATTATCTTGTAACATAATGCTCTGTCATATATATCATGACATCATGATGTCAATTATACGGTTTGATAATGAATGATTGGTTCATTTAACCTGCATTACTTTGTATGGGTGCACCCCCCACCCCCTATTCTCGCGAGAGAATTTCTGCTCTGCGTTCACAGGATTTGTGATAGATTAAACACAATGGCCTCACAATTTAGACTTGTACCACAGCTTAAATAATGGTGCTTCGTGATGGATCTAGTGCAATACTCAATACTATTTTTTAAAATCATCTCAAAACCGTCACCTTGTTTTTACCTTTGAATCAGATCATACAGTTACAACCAGACATTTCATTAAGGTACCGGAGCTCACCTGACAGTGCCCAGCTCACCTGTCTGCTCCTAACAAAATGATCCACGGAATTCAGAAACAATCAAACTAGTCAGACAAGCTATGGGGAATAACTTAAAGCAACTTAATGAGGATCTGATAATGAAGGGACTGCAATGAGGCCCTTTTCCGACCTATTATAAATACTTGTTTGTGTGTGTGTGTTTGTTTGTGTGTTGGCACAAGGAAGCGAGTAAGAGAGTCTGGAGGGGCTGAATTAATCTTGTGCAGCAGTGCCATGAAGACAGATTTTAATTCAATTCAATTAAATTGTATTTGTATGGCGCCAGATCATAATATACATTATCTCAAGGCACTTTACACAGAAGGTCAAGACCTTAAAATCATATTAATATAGAGAAACCCAACAGTTTCCACAATGAGCAGCACTTTGGAGACTGTGGAGGAAAAACTCCCTCATTAACAGAGAGAAACCTCTAGAACCAGACTCAATGTGGACGGTCATCTGCCTCGACCGGTTGGGGGGAGCAAAGAAAAAGGGGAGGAGAGGAGAGATGGGTGGAAAAGAGGGGAGAGAAGAGAGAGAGAGATAGTGGGGAGGGGGAACAGGGGGAGAGAGAGACCGGGAACACTTGAGCACAATCAAGTATCAGATTTGACTAGTTCAAATGAAAACAATAACAGTGTAAAGAAGTTATTGATTATTATTGATAACAGTCACAATTCATATCATAATTCATTACTAATAAGTATTGTTGTTAATAATAAGAATAGTTGTTCTGCAGTTCTGGAGTCAGAGATATCTGCAATGAGAGAGAAAGAGAGAGAGGGACTATGGGAGAAAAAAGAAACAGTTATTGACATGAATTAAAGTACATAAATGATTGTGGGGGGGCAGAGAGACAGAGAGAAGTATTTTTTTAACGAATTTATGGGAAGTAACACTTTAGGAGGTGACAGTGACAAACAAATCAATGTATGGTTACCAAGAAGCGTAAAAATACCTTGTGAGTATACTCTGTGAAACTAAAGTGGGTCGGAGACATGAGCTTCAATGTGGCCCAGGATGCATGAGCATTCAAACAGCGAAGTAGCCACATGTGTCCCAGACCACCTCCCAATGTGGACTGAGTGATCAGCTATTATAGATGATCAGACGTTTTCAGGACGCATTTGGGTGCGTTCAGACCTGTACTTGGTGCTGACTTGTGATCGGATCAGTCAGGATGGATGTTAATACCAGGTCTGAATGGGGTTTTAGACTCAGGGTGAGGTAGCATCAGGAGAGAGAAGAGAGAAAGATGGAGAAGAGAGACATGTTTGGGGTGGGTGGAAAGATGAGAAAGAGTAGGAACAGCTGTATATTCTGTTATATTCAGTCACTGTCACACTTAATTTCATGGTGGTAATAGTAATATAGTGACGTAAGGAAAATGTTTTTGAATGTTATTCTGGATTGACTTGTATTGCATAGTGTTGTTTTGCCTTTTTTCTGGATTTTAGAAGTTAATATGGGAGGGATATAATCCTTTTCTTCTTCCTGTCAGTACTTAGAATTACAAGAATTGCAGTAGTATAACATAGTGTAACAAATGCATGGACTCGTTTTTTTGCAGCATAGAACCTGCGTGGTGTGGATTCAAACCCAGGTCATTGCAGTTAGGACCAAGTCTTGCACACGTAACTAGGTGAGGCTCCCCAAGTAATTCTAATATTTGTTTTGTACTCTACACATGCTTGTCAAAGATGAGATAGATTGGTCTGGAGTAGATAAGTTAACACTGGTGTAACAGGGGTGACCTGATAGCCGAATGGTGAGGGCACATACTGATCCACAGCTTTATAAATGCCCTGAGCAGTGGGTCTCTGGTTCAGTCGCTGGGCGTTCCAGTTACTTCATCTCATTCCCCTACACTCTACCCTTCATTTCCTGTCTCTCTCAAATAAAGTCACAACAAGTATACTTGAAAGAGACCAAAAAAATATTTGTGTTATATTAGAAAAATCAACTTATCAATCTAAAAATATCCTTTATTCTCTTTACGTTTATGCTTCTGTAACCTTGGTCATTGTATTATCAGTTGTCGTAATCAACCCTTAAATCTCTGCATCTTGTATTACATCACATAAGTTGAAGTGGTGCAGTATAGTAGCTGTGACCGATTGATTGATGTCTGGACTGGATGTCTGTCACTGAGCAGAATGCACACATCATGTAAAGATGCCACGAATAATTAGTTAAATTGTATATTGCAGATTCACACACAGTCTGCTACAGCAATATTATTACCATAGATGCAATATTGATATTGCAGCTATAAATGACTCTGCAGATGGCTTTTACTTTGAAACAAGAGTCATGCAGAGAAGTGCAGTTTCAGCTGATAGCACATGGGGGAGAGGGTAAGAAGAAAAAAGAATGACAAGCATGAGAAAGGT